AAAATATTTTTAAGTCGTTAAATTTTAAGTAATTTAAATTGTTGTATTATTTATTACAATTTATAATACTTTTAAAGTAGTTGAAATATTGTACTATTTATTATGATTTATAACAGTTTTTTTTAATTTATGTCATATTATGGAATTTGAGAAGTTATTGAAATTTTTATATGATTTTAAAAATTATTTTAAATTGTTAGCTATTGTGATTTGTAGTACTTTTTTTTAACATAATTTTGGAAATAATATTTATTACTCTATTTGTTCTAATTTATGTGGCAGATGTAGAATTTCAAATATTAACCTTTTTTTATATGTCTCTTTAATATATTAAGTTGTTAATTATTGTATTTTATAGTACATTTTGAACCTAATTTTTTAATAACATATGTTATTTGCTATGGCCCAATTTATGTGGCATTAATTGATAGATTTGTTGGAGTCGAGAGATTTATTTTGTTAATTATTGTAATTTATAATTTGTTTTTCGTCAATTTCGTCGACTATTTATTTTATTAATTATTGTAATTTATTGTTTCTTTTTCGTCAATTTCAAACAATATATGTTTATCATATAATCCATTTTATGTGGTACCAATAGAATTTAAAGAGTCAATTAAATTTTGTATATAAGTTTTAAATAATTAAGCTGTTAATTATTGTAATGTATAGTATTACTTATATTATTTTTAAATATATTTAAATATTATATGTTAGGTTTTTTATCCTAATTTATATGGCATTGATAGAATTGAAAGTGCCAACTAATTGTTAATTATTGTAATAGATAATATGGAGTATTTAAGTCATTCATAGTATAGTAATTAATATATAATATGTAGTATTTAAGTGTTATATTATGGAATTTGAGAAGTTGTTGAAATTTTTATATGATTTTAAAAATATTTTAAATTGTTAGCTATTGTGATTTGTAGTACTTTTTTTTTTACATAATTTTGAAAATAATATTTATTACTCTGTTTGTTCTAATTTATGTGGCACACGCAGAATTTCAAATATTAACCATTTTTTATATGTCTCTTTAATATATTAAGTTGTTAATTATTGTATTTTATAGTACATTTTGAACCTAATTTGTTAATAATATATGTTATTTGCCATGTCCCAATTTATGTGGCATTAATTGATAGATTTGTTGGAGTCAATAGATTTATTTTGTTAATTATTGTAATTTATAGTTGTCTCTAATTACTTGTCCATTTTGACAAATCAAGAAAGAATTTTTTTTTTACCTATTATACCCTCAATTAAATGACTAATTACTTTGAAAATTGCAGAACTTTTCATCTACTTCATAATTAATAGGGGTAAAATGATAAACTCACTATGTCATTAATTGATTTCTTAATAAATGTGTCAATTTAAAAGTGGACAAGTAATTAGGGACAGAGGGAGTATTACAGTGTTATTTGACATTATGAGATATTTCTTTGACATTTAAGGAGAATGGTACACCGGAATATATATTATATATTAAAGGATCAACTTCATGCAATGGAAGAATTTGTTATTAGCAAATATATTTTAACTTATTTGATAAAAAATATATTCTTCCTCATTTAATAGACGTAAAATTTGTGAAGCTTTATTTTTTTCACAATCTTCATATTATTAAAACAAATAAAAATATTACGATTAAACAATAGAGTAAATATAAAATTAATCAAAAATATTTAATTTAAATGATCGCGCGAAGTGCGGCCAAGTTCTCTAATTTTAAAAAAAGAAGTAAAATTTAAATGTGTCTACTATAGAATTTCTAGAAATCGAACTTGAAAAATTATGTTAAAAATGGAAAATAAAAAGTGAAATAAATTTAATTGAGAGTTATCCTTCGTCTGCCCCATTTTATGTGACTTTTTTTATTTCTCGAGAATCAAATAGTTTAAGTTTGACCATAAATTTGCGTATGATATCTTCAATTTTTTTAAAAAAATTGGAAAAATTAGATAAATAGTAATCTTAGCTTCTAAGAAATGTCACATCATTATTTACATATCCAACTTTTATATATATAAAAGAGTTAAAAAAGAAAAAATAAGTGATGTAAGAAAATTATATAAATAACATTAATGATGAGATGAAGATTAAGAAAAAACGTCAAATAAATTAGTATATGCACAAATTAATATAAGGAAGACAAAAGAATTTTTTAAAATATATTTGTGGAAGCTCTTTCTAACAATTGCATATATATATATATATATATATATATATATATATATATATATATTTCATTTTTAAAATATGATTCCCTCCGTTTCGATTTTAAAAAGATAATAACCTTTAAATTTTAATATTTTTTGTATAGCATATTTAAGATCACAAAATTAAAAAATATTTTAATATATTTGATATATACCACAAAATTTAAATGTACATATAAATTTTAATTTTAATTGATTTCCACCAAATATTATACTTGATATATAATTAGTAAGAGCTAAATGTAATTATAATTTATTTACTTTCATGTAAAAGAGATGTATCATTTCTGAACATATCAACTGGCTTAAGAGAAGAGTGAGACTCTAATTAATGGGGAGAGCGATTTTAAAAATTTAAATTTACAGAAAGAATAAATTAATTTGGAATTTCTTATGCAAATTATGTGGGTTATTAATATTTTGTATTGGTTGAGAGAGAGATTTTTTAAGTTCGTAATTATTGTAATTTATAGTTATTAGTTTGTTGTGATTTATAGTACTTTTTGCTCATCATTTTTAAATAATATATGTTATTCATGTTCTAATTCACGTGAATAATCATAAATATTTTCAGTTGTTAATTTATTGTGAATTCTAGGAGTTTTGACGCCATTTTCAAATAATATAAGATACTTCTTTTATTTTAATTAGCCAACCAAATTTCCATATATGATTTAAAAATATTTTCAGTTGCTAATTATTGTAATTTATAGTATTTCTTATGTAATTTTTAATAATACATTTTATTCTATTTATTTAAATTCATGTGACAATGATAGAATTTTAAGAATCAACTAAATTTTTTTAGAAAATTTAATTTCTTTCTACTATATTTTGTAGCTAAAATATAATAAATGAATTAATTAAATTTCAAAATGTTAAATTTTCAAGGAAGAAATAAAGTGGGAAAAAATAAAAAAGAAATTGTGAGGAACAAATAAAAGAAGGAAATGAGAATTGTTAATGGGCAATTGGATAACAAAAATTAAAGAAAAATAGAAAAATGTGAAATAGGCAGAAACAAGGGCCCACATTTTTCGGCTTGAGGTAAAGCCAAAGGAAAAGATGGGCGGACTTTTAAGCTGACCTACGTGGCGGTTTTTCATTGGACTTTTAAGTTGACCTACGTGGCGGTTTTTCATTGTTTTCGTCGGACTGAGGAACTCTCACTTATTTAGAATGACTATTTACGGAAGTAGCCTTAAATGTACAGGTGTAAGCTATTTATTGATTTGGTCGGACTGAGAAGCAAATAAGTAAGTAATTAAAGATGTAATACGTGTCTGCCAAAGAAAAGGTTGCATACACGTGGCTAGGCAAGACAATAAAAGAAATAAAATGGGTCCAAAGTGAAGGTACAATTTATGTTACTTTTGGTACAGTTTCGTGTTGCTTTGTTTGTCCTTTTGGTACAACTTGAACTGCTTTTGGTATCACTTCTTAAAGCTGTGTTAGTCCCAACCCAATAGTACAACTTGAACTGCTTTTGGTATCACTTCTTAAAGCTGTGTTAGTCCAACCCAAGTGTCACTTCTAAATAAGAGTAATAATAAATAAAATAATATAACCTTTCAAACTTTTCAAATTTTGATAGATTAGGTTGACTATATACTTATTGGTTAATCATTTTGGATATGCACAAGTTATTTCTTGAATTGCTTATGTCAAAAAAGGTATCCGATATATTAAAATTTTTCATTATACATGAAATTTTAAAAATAGAATATGTCACATGATTAGTTTAACCCGCAGGATATCTTATTCATTAAATTTTAAGGGAATTAACAATTCAGAGTAAATATGTATTCAAAGTTGAATCACAAAAATGCATAATAAAAGACAAATACTAATTACTAGTATTATTTTTGAAGAGTAAAGAGATAAATATATCTCTTTTTTATTTTATCATTACCTTAAAGAAGATGCGGAAAAAAAAAAATGATAAATAAAATAAATTTGATTAACTGCGTCAACAACACCTTGACGTACACTTATGCGTCACCTTCCACATTCACTCACCAATATTTTGCTATAAATGGAAAGGGTGGAATTGTTATTTCTTCATTCAAATCCAAATTAATTAATACTACAAAATATTTTTCATGGCAATGACTAAAGTCCTCTTCCCTTCACAATATCTCTCTATGCACATTATAAGTGGAAGAAATATTCAAGTTTCATGTAGAAGCTCTAACAAATGGGTTGTTCAAGAAGATCTTCTCAAAGCGACTTCCACGTACAATCAAGTAAAATTTAATTTCTATACATTGACAAAATAAATAGTAATATATAGTTCATAAAATACAATTTGATAATATATTTTTTTTGCATTATCAAGCGTAAATGTAAACTATCGTTGATGATTGAGATCATTTCACTTTCAATCATAAGTTTTGAATTCGAGTTTCTAAAATAAAAAAATAATCTATTGGAAGCCAAGCGATCGTTGCATTAAAAAACGAGTCTTATAGTGTGTGAATAATATAGTATTGAACACATGGTGAAACAAAAGAAGGAAAAAAACTTTCTTGTGTTTTTTCCTCAAAAATTTATGATTCATATATCTAGTGTTGCAAATGTGAACTTGTGTTCTAGGGGATGAGTGGGTGGAGGTTGTAAATTTGTAGCCGAGCCAAAAATTTTACAAAGGAATTCCAAATATATACTCTCTTTGTTTTTTGTTTTACTTAATATGTTATAGTTTAAATTTCGAGAATCAATATTCTTTTTAAAACTAAAATTGTGCTTCTTTAATTACTAATACAGGATGGATTTGACAGTACCAACTTTGGACTACTAGTAAAGGATGTAAAGTATGCACTAAGGACAGAAAGAAATAAGAATCTTACTTTAGTGGATACACTTCAACATATGGGAATTGAACACCATTTTCAAGAAGAGATTCAATCAATTTTACAAAGGGAATATGAGCAATGTGCTTGTTTTCTCAAGTATCAAAACCATCATGATATTTCACTTTGTTTTAGACTTTTGAGACAAGGAGGTCACCACGTGTCAGCAGGTACTTGGTTTTCCATTGAACATATTTTAATCATTTATTTGATTTCATCTATTAAAGACATTACATACATTTTCTAATTAAAGACATTTTTGGATTGAACTACTAACCACGTGAGTAATTTTAGACCAAATTAGTTAGGGATATTTTATTTCAATTTCACATATCCATCTAATAACCTTATATTGCCTTGAGCAGATGTATTTAAAAAATTCAAGAACAATGATGATGGTACATTTGGATTAAACATTAGCCAAGATGTGAATGGATTAATTGGTTTATATGAAGCATCACAACTTGGTGTAGAAGGTGAATACATACTTGATGAAATTGCAAATTTTAGTGTTGGTCACCTAAATGCATGTCTTGCAAATAATGACTCATGTGATGAAGCTAGAATTATCAAAGAAACATTGAAGTATCCATACCACAAGAGTTTAGCAAGTTGCAAGGCCAAAAGCTTCATCAATAACTTTAAAGGAATTAATGGATGGGGAAAAAGCACCTTACAAGAATTGGCAAATATGGACTACTCCATAACAAAAGAGATACATCAACATGAATTGATTCAAGTTTCTAGGTAAATTAAATTAGTGATATATGGCTGCAATGTAAAAAATAGTTTAATATACTAATTGCAACTTTCTAATTATACATAGGTGGTGGAGAAGTCTTGGTTTAGCTGAAGAATTAAAGCTTTTGAGAGATCAACCATTAAAATGGTATGCTTGGCCAATGGCAATGCTTACAGATCCAAAAATGTCACAACAAAGAATTGAGCTAGCAAAATGCATCTCTTTTGTTTATGTCATTGATGATATCTTTGATGTTTATGGGACTGTTGAAGAATTAACCCTCCTCACTCAAGCTGTTAATAGGTACTTTATTTGAGCTTTTAATAATTTATATATATATATATATATTGATAGTGTAAACGTTACGTACAAATAATCATTGTCATCATGATAAAATAAAATATACTAGTTACTTGTTATAATAAATAAAAATAATCTGATGATATAAAACGTCTTTATTTTTTTATGGTCCATAATCTTAGAGGCTATTATTATTATTTCAGGTGGGAATTATGTGCCATGATGGACTTGCCAGAATATATGAGATCAACTTATAAGGCTCTTTATGATACCATTAATTCCATTGGCTACAATATCTACAAATTTTATGGACGAAACCCAACTCAAAATTTGCGCAACACGGTATTATTTACTATGCTTTTAACATTGAATAGGACTTGACTTTCTCTTTACTAGCTTCATCTGTTCTGTATTAGTTGTCTATTTTTCGTTGACACAATGTCATCTAAGAAATCATAAATATAAAAATAGTTTTACTATACCCTTAAAGAAGCTTTTTACAAATTCGTTTACACTTTTAAATAGAATTAATTGATATGATAAAATGAAAACAAATTTAATTAATACTCTCTTAATTTTGTAAATTGACAAATAATTTGTGAAAACTATTTTTAATAACGTAATTGAATAATTTGAAGAGAGTAACTTTTAAAGTAACATAAACAAAGTTAAATAACGTAATTGAATAATTTCTAATAATTGAGTGAACTCACTCCTTTTTTTTTCTTTTTTTTTTGGATTTTAGTGGGCAAATTTATGCAATGCATTTCTAAAAGAAGCAAAATGGTTTGCCTCTGGGGAGTTACCAACAGCAGATGTGTACTTGAAGAATGGACTTATTAGTTCTGGAGTTCATACGGTCTTACTTCACATGTTATATCTCTTAGGTTTTGGTCTTACCAATCAAAACTCTATTTATTTGGAAGATTCATCAGCCATGGCTTCCTCCGTCGCTACGATCCTTCGCCTTTGGGATGATCTAGGAAGTGCAAAGGTAACCCTAATTTTTGAAATGTTTGTAAATTTTTTTGGGTACGTATAGTATGATATAGTTTAATATGTGTGCAGGATGAAAATCAAGAAGGAAATGATGGTTCATATATAGAATGTTACATGAAGGGACAAAAAAATGGTTCTATTGAATTGACAAGAGAGTATGTGGTTAAGCAAATAGAAGATGAATGGAAACAACTTAATAAGAAACATTTTGATTTGATGAATGGATCTTTAGGATCATTTTCAAAAGCTTCTCTTAACCTTGCAAGAATGGTTCCTCTTATGTACAATTATGATGATAAACAGTCCATTCATGTCCTCCTAGAATACATCAACTATATGTTGTATGATGTATGATAATGTATCCATGTCAATCAAGTAGAAAGTTGCCTTTAATTATAGATCATGATCTGAACCACCTTGTAAGTGAGGATTCGAGATATAATGAAACAATTACCATGCGTAGTAAAGGGACATGGTATTTTTTTTCCTGGACCATATTATTATTCTTCGGAAAAAAGGTCATAACTTTTCGTAGGAATATGAAAATGATCGAAACCATAATACACTCAAAGAGCTCTCATTTGATATATTGCTCATAAATCAATTCTTTCTTCTTCTTTTTTTGGTTCAAAAGATCTTTATTTAAGGTTACGGACTAATTGATATGAAATCTGTTGACATAGAAATTGTGTTGGGTCTTGACCCATTCAAATTTGCTTTGGGTTCAAATGGGCTTAAAATGGATTAGGTCTTGAATTGCCCAATTTAATTCCATTTAATCTTAATATATTGCTATTTAAGTTTTATAATCACCGTGATATTCAACTTGTGGTCAATGGCCAAATGGAGCCCCTGTTGAAGACCTTTTAGTATTTCTATGTAGCTTAAGGCCCCTTGATTTCAATTTTGTTCAACAAATAATGTGATTTTTGAGGTAATAACTAAGTTAAGTGACTAAGAAATTAATTATAGAATTTCAATGACTAGTTATGCAATTATATAAAATCATATTAATTAAAGTAATTAAAATTATTATTTTTGAAATTAAATTATTTTAAACAAAAAGAAATTTCCTCAATTATCTAGTCAATTTTTTATTTTATTTTTGTTTAGTCTCTTGTTGATATTTTCACATAACTCCTCTATTTTTATTTTTTGTTTAGTCTATTGCATGTGGAAATGTCGGCTTTTAGCACTATTATTCACTATAGTCCATGCATATCATTATCATATTCAAACAAAGAACCCAAAAGTGTGCAGGGATAGCAGTTGGGAAAAAAATAAACTTAATATTCCTCGGGGAACGTACGTACTGATGACATGCATGCAAACAAAATATCATAATACCCCCACATGAGAAAGTGAAATGAATTGAGCCTATCATCTCCTCACGTTCCAAATTTATATTGAAGTTTCGACTATGCACTCAAATTCATGGTAAATTTTTAAAATTTGTGGTTTAAATCAAGCTATATATATTTGTATGGCTAAAATTTTCATATTAAGAGTAAAATAGAAAGTATAAAATTACAGTAATTTCAAAAGAAAACAAAAGCATGTCATTCTTTTTAGTTCTTTTTAGATAAGACTAAAAAGAATTTATTATACATAAGATAAGGGGATGGATATATAGAGTGTGTATTTATACACTATCCATATTTTTATCTAACCAAATCACATTGATAAATCACCATACAACATAGATTTAATATATTCTTGAGGGATTGATTATCATCATAATTGTACATAAGAGGGACAATCCTTGCACAATTAAGAGAAGCTTTTGAAAATGATCCTAAAAATTGACTCATCAAATGCAAATGTTCTTTGTTGAGTTTCTTCCATTCATCTTCTATTAAGCTTAATCACATGTTCTCTTGCCAATTCAATGGAAGTATCTTTGTTTTCCTTCATGTAACATTCTATGTATGAACCATCTTTTCCTTCTTGATTCTCATCCTGCACACATAAACGCATATTCTGCTAATAAAAATCATACAAACATGTCACGTGTAAAGATGAAATTTTTCTTTTTGTTACCTTGGCACTTCCAAGATCATCCCAAAGGCGAAGAATCGTAGCCACAGAAGAAGATATGGCTGATACATCCTCCAAATGAATAGAACTAACACCAAGACCTAAGAGATAGAACATGTGAACTAAGACTGCATGAACTCCAGAACTAACAATTCCATTCTTTAAGTAGTCATCTGTTGTTGGTACCACCCCAGAGGCAAACCATTTTGCTTCTTTTAGAAATGCATTGCACAAGCTTACCCACTAAAATACAAAAAAAAATAATGAAATATTAGGGAATGACTATAGTTAATAAAATGATAAATAATCCCTCCATCTATCTTAGTTTTTCAAGTATCGGCTTGATACATCTTTTAAAAAATAATAAATAGAATGATAATTTTACTATATATCTCCCTTTGAATATAATAAATTCGATGTTCTTGGAATGAGTATAGTTAATAATAAGGTAAATTTGAAACTAATAAGTGACAAATTATCTCTTGATTTTAAAAATAGACATATATTTATAATAGTGGACAAATATATAAAAGTGAACGTTATAATACCGCATTCCGCAAATTTTGAGTGGGGTTTTGTCCATAGATTTTGTGGATATTATAGCCAATGTCATTAATGGTATCATAAAGAGCCTTATAAGTTGATCTCATGTATTCTGGTAAGTCTAACATGGCAACCAATTCCCACCTGAAATAATTGAGGAAAAATTACATTCTATGTCTATTTGTATATAAATATATAATTTTCATCTAAAAGAAGCAAATTAAAAGCTTAAATAAAATACCTTTTGACAGCTTGAGTGAAGAGGGTTAGTTCTTCAATAGTCCCATAAACATCAAAAATGTCATCAATGACATAAACAAAAGAAATGCATTTTGCTAGCTCAATTCTTTGTTGTGACATTTTTGGATCAGTAAGGACTGCCATTGGCCAAGTATACCATTTTAATGGTTGGTCTCTCAAAAGCTTCAAATCTTCAGCTAAACCAAGACCTCTCCACCACCTATAAATATCATTACAAGTTGCTTAATAAATTTGGGGGTCTGATTTTCTTTCGTGAGCCAAGCATATGGAACTTCTCTTTTTATATGGGTAGCAGTGAGATTCGATCTCAGGTTTTCTGTCGGCTTCTGATACCATATTGAAGTGTGTGACTATATAATTTCATTTAAAAGCTTAAACTGTTAGAAAAAGCACACCTGCACACTTTTTTCATTTAATTATATTCTGTTTTTCAGATTACTAATTTGACTTTGAGATTATAACTTTTATACATACAACAAGTAATGTAAAACTTGTATAGAAATTGAATTCAACAACCAATTTACCCGGAAACTTGAGCCTATTCATATTGATGTATCTCTTGAGTTATGGAGTATTCAATATTTGCCAATTCTTGTAAGGTGCTTTTTCCCCATCCATTAATTCCTTTGAAGTTATTGATGAAGCTTTTGGCCTTGCAACTTGCTAAACTCTTGTGGTATGGATACTTTAATGTTTCTTTAATAATTCTAGCTTCATCACATGAGTCACTATTTGCAAGACATGCATTTAGGTGCTCACTACTAAAATTTGCAACTTCATCAAGTATGTGTTCACCTTTTATACCAAGTTGTGATGCTTCATATAAACCAATTAATCCATTTACATCTTGGCTAAGGTTTAATCCAAATGTCCCATCATCATTGTTCTTGAATTTTTTAAATACATCTGCACAAGGCAATATAATTAGAGATTATATATAATTGTACAACTTATCCATAATTTGATAATTAGGATTCTTGGATATAATCAACCAATTACCTGCTGACACGTGGTAACCTTGTTGTCTCAAAAGCCTAAAACAAAGTGAAACATCAAAAGGGGTTTGATATTTGAGAAAACACGCACTTTGATCATATTCCTTTTGTAAAATTGATTGAATCTCTTCTTGAAAATGATGTTCAATTCCCATACGTTGAAGTGTATCCACTAAAACAAGATTATTAGTATTATATATTTCTGTCCTTAGTGCATACTTTACATCCTTCACAAGTAGTCCAAATTTGGTACTATTAAATCCATCCTGCATTAGTAATTAAGCATTTTCTTAGTTAAAAAGGGAAAATATAAAAGAATGACAACATTCTTAATTAAAAATGAAAAAAAAAATTGTATGATAAATTACATGGTGTAATGGTACGGTGGAGCTACCCTTAGCTCTTCGTTGGAAATTACATCGTGTAAGGGACTGAAGTTATAATTAGTATATAGAAGTTATGCACACAAATAATATTTTTTTTAAAAAAAAATACATCATCAAGATATTTCATAGATGACAACATTAATATAATCTTATATTGTTAGTATATAGAAGTTAAAATCTTACGTGATTGTGGCTCGTTTGGCGACGAGAGGTTTGTATAAGAAGATGTTGTTGAATTGCCCAAATTCTTCTTATGGTTCCTATTTGGCAAGATACATAATGTGATGGAGATATATCGATTAATAGAGACCGCCTCTATTGCTCAAGTTTATGTGACAGTATTTTTTTTTAATTTTATTCATAAAATAATGATATTTGCTTTTTTTAATTTGAGAATAATTTAATTTAAACTTCTCATTTTACTCTTTATAAGAAGTTTTATAAATACAAAAAAGTAATGAGTGTTTAAAATATTCTTAGTCCTGATGATATATGTGGCACTTTTTTTTTTTGAATTTTGAGAGTCTAACTTCTTAATTTTGATCATTATGAATTTGAACATAATTTTTAATTAAAAAAAATTCATATTAAAAAATTATGTAAAAAGTACTAAAAATCCATAATAATTAAAATTCAAAATATTGATAAAAAAAATGACCAAACATTTGTGGTAAAAAAACAAAAGGATATTATTCAAAAGTTTTATGGCCATATCATTATATGTTTATAATTATGAATATAAAAAAAAAAAAAAAAAAAAGAGAGAAAGAGAGAGAGAGAGAGATAGAGCGAGGGAGTGGGTTAGGCGGCGGGGGTGGGGGTGGGGGGGATTTTTAACAACCCTCCGTTTATATCTTTTTGTCTAAATGCATGGCTTGTTTTAAGGTTGGAAAACATCAAAAATATAATATATTGCAATTGCTTAAATAACCTCATTTCCTTCTCTTTTACTTTGACTATCTATTTTATGTTGATGATATTTTCTTTGACTATTCTATTTATGTGAGATAATATTTTTCATTATTTTGTTCTTAATTTTTTAATTTGATCTCTAATGAGAAGTTTTAATAGTCACAAAAATATCAAGAAATATTTAAAATTATATTTTAAAAATCTTAATTATAGCTACAAATATTATAGCATA